AAGCGGAGAGTGACAGAGACGCTTGCAGACGGAAGTGCTGGATCAACGCTTTCGTCACATCCTCTCAGCCGGTATATCTAACGCGGCCCATAAACCTTGACGGGTGTTGGATGAGTGTTAATGTCTATACCCTTTGTAACGGGCGGTAGCTTGCGCCACATAGTGGTCTAACATCGTGACACCGGTCAAGCAGTTGCCACACTCTGATATCTAGGCACACTTGGGAAACCAAGGTTGGAGGCGCCATTGGCGCGTGCGTGTCCTGTACACATTTCAAGGTACTCTGCCGCGAAAACCATGGCTGTGACAGTGGGACGAGGGTACTCTGCCGCAACCCTCGTCCAAATGTCACAGCCACGGTTTTCGCGGGAATGCCGCCATTTAATATTTTCCGTGATGAAAAGAATATCAACTTCCTTTACTTGAGGATCGTAAAAATCAAAACGTTTAATCCTCTTCTCAAAAAAAAAAAAAACGGTTTAATGTGAATACGCTGGAGCAGGTTACGCAGTGCCGCCGCGGCTACTCATGCACCTTGCTTTTTGATTGGTCCTTCTGCATCTTTATCTGCGATTACGGAAATCTCATTGGCTGCGAAATCATCATAAAAAATTGCTCAGGACACGCCGCCACGCCTGCGTTTCTTAACCATACATAAATGTTAATGTGTTAATCAGGATACGTACAACAATCCACACAATACTCAAGCTGCATTCTGCACATTGTTGTATTCCTTCAACTCTGTGATGTCACGGCGCGGTGGTGGCGCGTCGGGCGCACTTCCGGTCTGGGGCCGTGGGCAGAAGTCCCTATGCCAGACGTGTATTCCTGCGTTGTTTTGGAAGAAACCAGACAAAAACCTGCCTTCTCGTCAAAACGCCGCGACTGGAGCCATACCAAAAGTGTCGAGAAAGGTTTGAAGGTCAGTTTTCACATGCTCGGTTTGTCCGAGAATCTGAATATGTGCCGTGAAAAGGGGAAAAGCAGACGCCGTCGGACAACGATTGCTTGGGCGGGATGCACTTTGGGTTGAATTCACGGATAGCTTATGGTCATCAGATTTATTTGTTTTGTTGCAACATGAACGCCAAAAAACCGTCAAGTTGTGCGGACCACCCGCGGACAACGTTTAGTGCGTCTTCAAGTTCAAACGGCCGCCTGATCGTTCAAACTGTCGTCTGCTCTTTCAATCGTTTCTGCTTGTCGCCTGCTCTCTTAGACGACGCCGGCCCGTAGACCAAATGTTGGCCCGGTACTAGCGATAGCGATAGTGCAGGCCTCAAAATACAAAAGTTTGAACGTTGGTAACCAGGCTTGATGTAAACAGTAGATACAAGGAGATGTTGACCATTGTTACCAGTGACCATCACCGACTTGTTGTGCCTAATTCACTTGGTCAGATTCTGCTTGCGATTTTCGGTATCGACGTCGACCATCTCGGCCACGGTTCACGCTTTTGCAGCCCGAGCGGCGTCGCGACTGAAAATTGCGAGTGAAATCTCATCATACGAATCAGGCTTTAGCGCGCATACTGCGGCGTCAACGCGGAATGAATCGCCATATGTCACATTATTCACACGAAGTTTTGCGGTGTAACAAGCCTCGGTAATTTCGCTGACGCCGCTCAAGTAGTCAGACATCGCCATTAAGACGTAGAATCAACAACGCGAAAAAGGGCAGGGGGACTCACACCGCCGCCGACAACGTCGCATTTCAATGGTTTGTTTATGGGCGCCGGCGAGCTTCTTGCCCACACCCCCCTCGCGCATGCGCGGCGCCGGTGGCGTCCGCTAGGGGCGCTCCGGTTTGTTTGTAAACAAACCGGGTTTCGAAAACAAAGAAGGTTGGAGGACAACTTATTTTCTCTAACACGGTGTATAGAAATAGCGCAAAAAGAAAACAGACAGCTCTGGCTGGCATTTCTGGATATCAAGGGTGCCTATGACAATGTGAACCAAAGAAACCTGTGGGACATAATGGAGAACTTAAACCTAGATGAAGGACTAACAGCACTATTAAGGAACATTTACAAAGATAACAAGGTGATTATAACATGGGAAGGAAAGGCGACAGGGAAAATAGAGATAAGACGAGGCCTTAGGCAGGGGTGCCCGTTATCGCCTTTGCTGTTTATGTTGTATCTGAGAGGATTGGAGGATAGACTAGAGAAGAGTGGGCTTGGGTTCAACCTTTCTTACAGTAAGCTAGGCCAAAAAATTCAGCAATCCTTACCGGGATTGATGTATGCGGATGATATTGTACTAATGGCTAACAACAGGACAGAGTAGCAGGAATTAATGAGCATCTGTGGTAGGGAAGGAGAGGAATTAGGTTTAGAATTCAGTAGCGAAAAATCGGCAGTCATGATTTTTAACGAGGATGAAGTTGAGAGGCTGAAGATACAGAATATTACAGTTGAGAGAGCTAGTAAATACAAGTATCTAGGAGTATGGATATGTGATGGTGTAGAATATCTCAGAGACCATGAAAAGTATATAATAGGTAAGGGCAACAGAAATGCAGCTGTAATAAAAAATAGAGCACTTTGGAGTTACAACAGGTATGAGGTGGTGAGAGAGATTTGGAAAGGGGTCATGGTGCCTGGCTTGACTTTTGGAAACGCAGTGCTATGCATGAAATCCGAAGTGCATGCGAAACTAGAAATAAAACAGCGCGGAGTAGGTGGACTGGCTTTGGGGGCGCATTGCAAAACGCCAAACCAGGGAGTACAAGGAGACATGGGATGGGCATCATTTGAGAGCAGGGAAGCGGTGAGCAAGGTAGAATTTGAGGATAGGTTGAGGCTAATGGATGGGGAGCAATGGGCACGAAAGGTTTTCAGCTATTTATACATGAGGAGTGTAGACACAAAGTGGAGACAGCGCACTAGGAAATTAAGAGGAAGGTTTTTGGGCTATAGCGAAGATACGGAAGAGCAAGTCTCAGTTAAGAAGAAAGTTAAGGCCACAGAAAGAGATCGGTGGCTAGAGGGAATGCAGACAAAGACTGCTCTGAAAAGCTATAGATTAAACAAAACAGTTATTGCCAAAGAAAGCATTTATGACAATTCTAGGGGAAGCTCATTGCTGTTTGAGGCAAGAACGGGTGTTCTGCGAACCAGAACATACAGAGTGAAGTACCAGGAAATTGATACAGTGTGCACTGCTTGTGGAGAGGAGGACGAGACGGCTGAGCACTTGATACTCTACTGTAAAGGGCTTCACCCTATGCCTACCGAAGACAACATAGATTTAATAAAGTCATTGGGTTTTAGAGACAGCGAAGGGAGAGTGGATTTCAAGACTGTAGAGATTACCAAGCAAAGATTAAGTGAATGGTGGCAGAAATCGAGAGAAAACTAGGTATTTTCTTAATCACTGATGGCAAGGCGGTTTCATAGCCTCACTTTCTTTGCACTGCGGAGTGAATATAGATTTCACATTTAAATATTCTAAGCTTAAATGGTAAAACAAAATGGCTAGGTGGCGTAAGCTACCGCCCGATCCAAAGGGCTCAGCCGTATTCATCCATCCATCCATCCATCCAAACATGAGTTGGCGTATACTTTTCACATGGGGTTTCCAAACTTTATGGCTGAGGGGCCGGATTAGGTGTCTGTCGCAGCCTTGAGTGCCAGAAAACAAAACGAGTAAATATAGGTAAATTCGAAAAACACTATATAGAGAGACAAAGGCATTTTAATACAATAATTCAAAGTATAGAAAATTTTTGAAAAAAAAAACAACATTAATTTAAGGTGTACTAAGAGGAAATTTACATGCGAATATTATGAATTGCGAATAATACAGGTCAAAAAAGTATAATTGAATAATAATTGAATAACATATAATTAGCCCAGAAACATCACCGGGCATCAATCGAGACACTTGGGAACTTGGACATATTTGCAAATGGCAGAAGACTTATGAGAATGGTAGGAATTATTATTGCAGTACGCGAAACTAATTACCGCGCAGGAAAACAAAAAATAATTTTAACGTAGTTACACGGACATAAAAAAAGGACACTAAGAACGGAGATGCCGGCGATGACAATGCGCAATAAGTGTCAGTGGGATAAAAAAAAAATCTGAAATTATTTGAAGCATTTGGTGAACATCGCAGCGGCGTGTCTTTGCGCGCTCTTATTCTTGCGTCGGGAGCAGCGCGCCTGCTAGAAACGGGCCGCGGGTCCGGGCGCCACTGCAAAGACCGCGGCCAGCCGCGGGTTGGTGAGGACGTCTCTGCGGGCCCGATCTTGCCAAGTGGGTCTGGGTTTAGAGATCGCAGCTTTTAATTATCGTTCTATAAAAAAAAAAATATTCAATTATCTTTTGTTCAGTGCTACCAATAACGTGTGTGCCGCGTTACATAAAAAATACTAAAACGAGAAATATACAACTGCCCTGCTAGTAAAATGCAGAAAAATCGCGGGCATATGGCATTCAGATACGCTTCAGTTGAATCAACGCTCGGTTCAGACAGGGAAGTGAGCGTTTCTCCGCATTTGACTCTTTTGCAGTGACCATCTCTCCGCCATTTATAGACCTTTTTCCACAAGGGCGCCACCATCTTGAAATGCGAAAACATTTAGGAAACAAGCGTAACTGCCGCCCGTTCTCGTCTTCACTCCCCCCCTATTTTTTTTACAATTTGCTGGTTGAAATGTTTTGTTATTTTTTCGTCGCTTTCAATGTAGCAAGGGGCGAGTCTTCGCTTTAAAACATTTTTTCTCTCTCATAATCAGGGTTTCAATATGTCGGTTTAATTAGAATCATTCCGTTAATTTGATGCCACGAACACTTTTGAACCAAAAATATGTTAATATATATTTACGCTGCGCGGAACCCGTTGACTATTTTATTTATTTTTTTTTTTCACTCGGAAAGCGCAGGCATAGATTATTTAACTTCTACGCGGGCCTAACTGTAATAACTTAACCTGGAGCGATCACTGAACAGAATGCAGCATCCGATGTGTCTACGTTTAATCCGTTTCCAGGATTTTTCAGGGACACCCAAGGAGACTACGAGGGACTTTTCTACCTTCTCGGTGGATTCACGGGAACCATGTCCGTGCTCTGGGGATGCGTCACACTGCGAGCCAGTCGGCGCACGCCCTCCGCTCCCACAGTGTGACTGAAACACGCTTCTTTGTTAACTCGTGAAAAAAAAAAAGAAAAAAAAAGAGAATTTTAGAGATAATAAAATAATAATAAAGGAAGACGGGAAACTACCCGGTTTTTTGTGAGCCAACCTCGCTCATCCCCTCCTTTGTCCTTCCAAAGTCACTCCTTCCGTGATAACTCGTGAGTCAATTCACCCAGTGAGTCACACTGGGGAAAGAAAATTGTGGTAAAAACCAGCCTCCCCCCCACGTTCACTCCTAAGCTGACAGTAGGCTGGGAGCTACGCGCTCGCCGGACGGTCAACCTCTTTCCCTTTCATCCCCTTGCTTCGCTTTCTTCACGTACATTTGGGCGGGGAGCTTGAACACGTGGCGGAAGATAGATGTATATGATTGGTTCGACGAGCACGTAGCTTCCACCACACTGTCAGCTTGGGGCTGAATGTCTCCAACGGCCGGTACTTGCCACATGAGCCCCGGCACGGTCATTCCCTCAACGGATTTCAGAGAAGCAGCACCGATCCCGCCTTGCTGCCACACCGACCGTTACTTGGTAAGTCCTGGACCAGATATTTTTGAGATGTGTGGTTACAAACTGCGGTCGTATGTGGCTTTTTGGGGGAGATTTTGTTAATTCTGGATTTTCTTAAAGCGGTCATGAAACGATATTGGGTAAAAATACTCATGACTTTGCGGAGGTTTATACTTGGGCCGGACTAGGACCAGTTGGTCCTAGTCTGACCCAAGTATACTCGCACAGAGCGCCACTGATTCAGAAGCGTTGTCGCGATGAAAGTGCGAGAATAAAAAGATACTTTTTTTTTTCATTGTCCTTTTCAAAGTTTGAGGACGTAATTATGGGATCGAAACCACCCGCCTGACGACAGTCCAGCGTGGCTCTTGGATTGGACACGAGAACTGCGCGAGCACTCGACTTCGGCTCGTAACAATCAATGCCTCGGCGGACACTCGGGTCGTGGCTCGTGTCCAACCACCGCGATGATGAGAATAGCCGAACTCTGACAGTGCCTGGAGCTCAGCACGCGTTTTCTACTTTGCCAACCCCATTGCTTGGCTATGATTAATGTTGGCGGCATAGGATAGGCACCAGGCCACGTGGCCGCTTGCTGTGTGTTTGTGTGTATGTTCGTACAGCCTGAAGTTAGTCTGCCTCGACGGGCGACTTGTCTCTCAGCTGTAGATGAGCAAGTTAGCCGGTGCAGTGCAGCCGTTAGCCTGGGATCTTTAACGTGCCCCATGCAGTAGTGATACACACGCCGGCACGATGTTCATCCAGATTGAAAAGGGCAGTGGGGGGGGGGGTGTCCTGCAGCGCGAGCTTTCGCTCCACGTGCTTCGAGATGCATGGTGTGCGCTACCGTGGCTGCTTGTTCTGGCTTCGAGTTGACGGAATGGACGATGCTCATATTTCTCGAATTTTTTTGCCCACTGCCCATTGCCTAGAGAAAAAAAAAAGTGGCTGATTTTGAATTTTGTCAAGATAAAGTATGTGGTTCTTCCGAACCACATACCTTGTCTGGCATCCGCCTTGTATCGGTCCGGGGACATTTCCCAAGTGTTCGGGTTATGCATCTGTTCTCTGCACATTGGGGAATTTGACGCCCGTCTCCTTAACCCTTCATCTTGAGCCCCGATAAACGCCGATGTTTTTGTTGTCCCATATCACAAACGCGTACCGAAAACCACCGAATCAGTAAAAACAAAACAATAAAACAACGAAAAAAACAAAACAAAAAAAGCGCCGCCGGAGTCGATGAAATTTAAGCCCCGAAAGCACTGAACTGTTCTTACTATCACTCAGGATAGCGAAGTAACTTTGTTGCGATCATTTTGGTATTCTATAGCCGTGGAGAGGATGAAAAGTGCAAGGCGTCTCTTTTCGATGCCCGGCCTTTAGCACGCGCTCGCTGCCCTCCGTCGTGCTTTAGGCGCGCGTGCACGCTCGAGGCCAACGAAACGCTGGAGCGCTGTCGATGGTAGGAAGCCTGCGCCGGAGGCGGGAAAAATGAAAAAAAAAAACAGAAAAAAAAAACCACCGCCCTTTTGTTTGATATGGCAGGAATTAACAGCCTCAACTGGCTTTTCCCACGAGTTTACCACGGGGATGTCGGTTACTCAAGTTACTCTACACGCCAAAGTAACGATACTACCAACGATATCGGTTTGCAAAGGACACAGGACGAAAACTGGGTTGTCTGGTTTGGTATTAGCGTTCTCAAAAAGTCATTATCACTAAAAATATAAAATGGCATATTACTATAGGCTCTGGAACCCGCAGAATGTCTTGTATCCAGTTCTTTTTTTTTTTTTTTTTTTTTTTTGCTTTTACGCAGGGCTGGGCGAGTACAGAACGCCTTATAGCTTAAAAATTTCGAACTCACAAAACAAGGCTGGACAGATACGCGGGAGGATGCAAAACCCAAAAATTTTCATCACTCATACAGCGATATCTCTAACGGATCGCCATATTTTTAGAAAAGAAGCTCCCGACTGAACCCGGCCGACGAGGCCGACAAGGCAAGGGACGTCACGATTCTTATTCCCTCTCCTCCTCACTACGTCCCGTGTGGAGCTGGTGAACCGAAGCGAGGAGGAAAGAAGCGAGGCCGCTCCCCCTCATTCTCAAATTCTCCCGGAGGACAGTGATGTCAGAGGCCTCGCTTGATCGCGCCCTTCTTTTCGAAAAGTGCAGCCATCCGTTTGAGATATCGATGTACGAGCAATGTTTCGGAGTTCGTAGAGTCCCGTTCAACGCTTTAGAGCCTTATTTTGCGAAATTCAAATTTCGGTTGAGTATCCTTTTAACCATTGGCAGATAAGGACGCCAAATAACGAAGACACGTGAACATTACAACCATGTTCTGCGCCTCTCAAGTGAATGAAATAGATACATATATATATATATAAGGAAAAGACTTGCGTAGGACGACGAAAAGTGTATAGGTGGTATTCACTGAGCCTGCAGGTTCGATTTTCCCCGGGGGCGCCACCGTCGATCCGCCATCGTCGCGGTTTGACTGGCTTGGGCACGCGGTCGTCCGTTGCTAGTGTGTGCTAATTTCATATCGTTGAAGAAGCTCCGTTGAACAGAAGAGAGAAGAAAAGTTTATCTCGGGGCGGGCCGTTTTCCTTGTTGCCGCTGAGTACCGTGTGTAAAGGCTGAGCCGCATGTAAGCAATTTAGCGAGCGACGGGACGAGACGAGCGACGAGACAAGCGACGACGACCCGCCTCGCTGTCGCTCGGTCACTCGCCCGACGAGGCAAACCGCATGAAAGCGACGGGAGCAAGCGGCCAAGGCGTTAAGCTACGTTTTCTAGAAATCCAAAAACCGAGCGACGCGACGAACGACCGTGAGAAATCTCCGTCGCTCGTCGCCGAATCCCGTCGCTGTCGCCGTCGCTCGCTAAATCGCTTACACGCGGTTCACCCTTCACTGCCGCTCGTCGCGTAGCTTGGTTTTGGGATTTCTAAAAAACTTAGCGTTCATCGCCTTGGTCGTTTGCTCCCGTCGCTTTCATGCGGTTTGCCCCGTCACGCGAGTGACCGAGCGGCAGTGAAGCGGGTCGCCGTCGCTTGTCTCTCCGCTCGCCAAATCGCGTACATGCGGTTTTTAAATCGCTTGGGCTAATCAAAAATGCGCCGCATTTTTCATAAGCTGTGCCGCACCTTATGTTTCTGCACAGGAACGAACACAGAAGGCACGACGTACGACACAGAGGCGATGGAGCAACACGGTTACACGACCGTAGCACAAAATCCGCTAGAGAAAAAACAATAAGGAAACTAGCAAAAGAAAACAAAGTGTAATCACACCGTGTTACAAAAGCACCAAAGTAGAAAAATCAGTTCTTGCGAGAGCTACCGCCGTGGGCACGACGCGCGACACGGAGCGCCGCATGGAGCAGAGGGAGCAATGCGGCCGCTGTGAACGAGTCCGATAGCGACAAAAACGAACTAAAACACACAGAAAAAAATATTCCTACCGCGTTTCAAAAGCACCAAAGTATAAGAATAACCCCTATTTTCGGTCGAAAAGACACTTTAGAGGATTCCGAGTCAGAACATCCAACGCGTCAAAACATCCATCGAGTCAAAACATCCATTGGTGGATGTTTCGTCTCCATGGATGTTCTGACTCGATGGATATTTTGACTCGGATGGATGTTCTCACTCGATGGATGTTTCACATCCATGGATGTTTAGACTCGGATGGATGTTCTGACTCGATGGATGTGTTGACTCCATGGATGTTTAGACTCGGATGGATGTTCTGACTCGAAGGATGTTTTGAATCAATGGATGTTTTCACTCGGATGGCTGTCATGAATATTTTGACGAGTTGAATGTTCTATCGTTTCTTGCCTGAAAGGAAAGAGCTGTTGTGTATAAAAGGCTTTTGACGATATGGTAAATGTTATGGTGAAACATTTTTCAAGACAGAATGGCTCTGTTTAAAAAGTATTTCGCTTCGCCGCATTAATACGAAGGAGAAAAGTTTTTTTTTTACATCGTGGTGGGAGCAGCAGAGCGCGCGATGGGCTGGCTCCGAGTCTGCGCGATTGCTCGAGGGACCAAAACACCGTTGTCAATGAATTATGCAACATAAGCCCTTCAGAGAAATTAATTTCACCTCGCCAGTCAATTGCTTTTATTTTTGTGTTGAGCCTCTGAATTGTTTCAAGACACTCTTGTGCCACACGTTTGGCGTGATCAATAACGTTATTCCGAGAGAATCGTAGCTTTATTTCCTGTGTGTTTTTTTTTTTTTTTTTAATTTAGTTTTCCTCTCGGACAAAACGCTCTACATGGATTTGCTCAGTTGTTTATAAAATTAGTTTTTAAATTACGGAAGCACTATTGGAACAAATGTTGCAGTTTTGTTTTTAATGTATTCGAACTTTTTAGGCATTCGTACCCTGTCTTAGTGTCTATACACTCATTTTTGCCCCGATTACTACTACCAGACGCAACGTAGTGCATATTGCTCACATAAAGTCATATGGTTGAATAAGACACCGATACATCGTGAAACAGCCAAACAGTTTTTTTTTTCAAGGAAACTGGCCCATGCGTGCTGTTCAGTTCATTCTACGGAAGAACTCCAAGGATTGTAATTTTGTCCAGATCGTTAAAGGGATACTGAAGCGAAACTTGAAATACACCTATTATGGTCAGAAATAGGTTCAATATGATCAATGATATTCATAAATCATAATCGCGCGTTTGTATTTTGAACGGATGGCTATATTTTTCACCCTGATGGGCCCGATTGGGCGCGCGCTCAAAAATCGGCCATCGGAGAGCGCGATGCGTCTTGGGATATTGGGCGCATTCGTGACGTCACTTGTGCCGGTCGGGAAAGGCTACGGCGTGAATGTTGTGGTTACGAGCGTTGCCACGTGGTGGCGCGTCGACGATTTACGACCTGTGACAACGTGGCCGTTTGAGATGTGCAAGGGCTGCACGCACGCTGCACCACGGGACCACGGCAAGTCGGCAACCACGGCAGCACTGACAAAACCAGCTCTGG